GTTTTCAACTAGTCCTGGACCGGACTTTTTAGGGACCGGACCGGGACCGAACCAGACGAACCATTTAACATCCCTAATTGCCCACGTTAAAAATTGATCTACACTATTTGTTACCCCAGGTATATCGGGTACTCATATAGATTGGAAAAGCCATTTAAAAAAATTTATTAGGAAAATGAAAGAAATTTATATAAATTTGGATAGTATTTTTTATTTTTTCATTAAAAAACAAAAAACTGATAAAACGCGGTCTTTTACATCGAGAATACCGAATACTTATAACCTTTTTGAAAAGTATCCCGGTATTAATCAGTGGCCGAATCAGTGTGCCCCATACAGTACCCGGGTGTATTATTTGAGTGCAGCCAAGGAAATACCCGGAGTTCTTAATTTTCGGAACTTCGTTTTTAGAAACAGATATTATCAAATTCTTATAAGCTGTTTCCGAAAGGATTCCAGATTTTCCCTTGGCTACACTCATTTAATTAATCTTGATTTTCTTGTAAAGAGTTTCAAGACAATATCTTAAACTTACATTGAACTTTTAAGCTAGTGCCAACTCATGTTTTAAGTTTTCTATATCGATATGTATACAGAAATAATATAAAATTTATAGCCTTTTTACTATTTAAAATTTTCAAGTTTTTTTAACCGTTTTTATTATTATAATTTATAATTGGTTTTATTTTCATATACTGTATAAGAGTTATAAATTATAACTAGCTTTATTCTCACATATTAAATCAAATGTGTTCAAAATTTAGTATATAATCATATATATAGTTATACTAACCTTCAAGATACCTCTAGGTTATGGATCTTTTTGCACAATGACTGTTCGTGTTTCTTTGAAGATAGAGACGCAAAAGTATTATTCCTGTTGGGAAAAAAAAGACCTCGATACAAATATTTCGCCATAATGACGTATTTTAGAGGCTCTGGCCAGTGTCTAAAATTCGAATGTGTGTGGATCCAATCAAATTGCTTGATTTCTGAAATAAAGCAATTTAATTGAATACACACAATCGAATTCTAGAAATTGGATATTTAGAATTCTAACAGGAACAGTACACAAAATCGAGTTTTTTTTAACACCATTAAGAGCGGTGCTGTCTTAATTTTCATTTATGAAATGTTACAATCTTAAAATATACTTTAAACTGTGTAAGTACAACTGTGTCTTTCCAATCAAAAGTAAGCTAGCCTATAGGATAAATGTAACATATAAATTTAATATGGTATATATATAATAATACCTTGAACTGTCAAAAGCCAAGTTTATACTTGTTCAATATGAGATGGGAATAACATCAAATGATATAAACACAATAATCGTTAATATTGTATACATATCTGATATATATAGTATATATATATATATATATAATATAAACACAATAAACTTAAATTAAAATTCAGTTATCCAATGACAATTTGTAAAGCAGGCATGATGGGTCCGTTGTTACACCCAAACTATCTTACAAGTTTAGGGATAACGAGTTTACTTTAACGACGGATATCGCGTTAAGAGGTTACTTTTACTGTATGAAAGAGGCCACTGCTAAATGTATATGACGATACAAGTAGTCGTATAATACGAGTTTACTCCTTATTAAATATATAAACTATGTAGCAGGGCTGGATGCAAACTCCGCCAAATATCACGTGAATATATTAAAAAATTAATGATTGGCGAAGCTTATTTCTTATACGTACAGTATATTGACCACCTATTCTATAGAACATCCGCAGGACTATTTATACATTAGTCGATATACAATCCTATAAATTCTGCTAATAAATACAAGTATATAACAATGATAATGTAGCCAATATAGATAATTATAGTAAAAGAATAAAAAGATTAAGTACAACTGCTGGGTAATTATATACCCGATCATGTGATCTGGGAACATTCATTATACTGTAAAGTAAAAAAGATGAATTATTATAAAACGCACCTATGGTGTTTTTACACCTATGTATAATTTCTTTTAATAAAATTTAGAGTTAAGGTTAGGAAATTAAGAATTTTTTTTTTTTTTATATAATATATTATAGAGCTACTATAAGGGCCCAATAGGGCCCAATCTTAGTTTTTGTGAGGTTTTTGAGGGTCCTGAACGTTTTTACTTAGAGGACCCGATCCCGTTTACTTAGTACGTTTTTGAGAAATGGGACCTATGGTGTAAAAACACCATAGGTGCGTTTTAGTAAAATCCAAAAAGATTATATTGTGAAAAATTATATTGGAATTTCTATTTGGACACAATGTGCAGGGTTGGCAATGGGATTATATCCATTAAAAGTAAACTTGTCAATGAGCCTCAATGGATCAATACCATAATCCATTGATCCATTGGCTTCGGTAGTAATATTATATTGAAGTCTTTGGATGCTCTCAAGAATCTCTTTCATGTGATTAGTTTATTATCTACAAATACTACGATTAATTGAAATACTGTAATCCTTATGCTAATTTTGCTAAAGATTCATGTGAAAGGCAGATATTAAGTTTTAACCAATCATCACAACTCTGATAAAATCTCGATAACAAACTCACTTGACCGGCTAAACTATTTTCCACCAATTACTGTACAGCTAGTGTTACAAATCGGATCAAAAATACAATCGATTAGTTGGGCAAAAAAATTTTAAAAAATCGATTAATTGTATAGTTGTTTATAAAAGCTACTGTATTTTCGCAAAATAATGCGCAGGGTGTAATTTCAAATTTTGGTCCAAATTAATCTAATTCGGGTCATTATTCCAAATAACACTAATAAGCGTTATTATGCGGAAATACGGTAATTTATTAGACCTATTTTGCCCATTGGTCCATTGGGGTTTAGTGACCACTCAATGGATCTGGGGTCCATCATCATTATTAAATCATTGATACCAATGGACGAATGTGCCATATATACACGGGTAATATAGAAAGCCAATCAGATTACACAACCAGGTGTAACGCCTCAAAATTTTGCTTATGACACTTTTCGAATATTAATAAAAAAAATTCATTGTAAAATTTCGGCATAAACTACCCTCCTCACATTCACCTTACCCTAATCTTAATCAGCATTTAACGTTAATTTTTTTTTTATACAAATTATTGATTTGTACATTACATTACACGAATTTGACAAATCGTTACCCCGTGTACTATACACTACGTGTAAAATTAGAAATTTTCAAAAATAATAAATTTTTAATAATTTCAAATTTTTTTCGGGAGTCATGAAGTTATATGTAGGCTATTTACGGATGCTCCCATATGAGTGCTACCAGGGGAAAACCTAGTTTTCTGAAATTTCATTTTCAGAAAAACAGCTTATAAGAATTTGATATTCTGTTTCAAGCGGAGTTTCCGATATTTACTGTATATAATAAAATTTTATTTAGTGTGTTTAATAGTCTAATTAGAAATGACTATACAAGCAGATAGATAAAATTCCTCAGCCTGATAAAGTTTGATCGGCCAAGATAATTGGTGAATAATTAAAAATTAAAATAAAAGACTTATGATACAGAAATGATACAAAGAAAAAACTATCAAATGAATTTATTATTATTATTATTATTTTAAAGATAATCTGATATGTTCTAACATTAAATAACGTGATACTCAATTCTATAAATATACTAATTACTGTAAAATGTATGCTTTTTATCAATCTTGAGGATATAGCAAGTAATCTCTTTTATTTCAAGAAAATTTTTGTTTCTGTTTTTACAACTTACAAAGAAAATTACAAATTCACGTAAATGATATAGAAACATTCATAGACTTTTGTATTACGATTTAATGCATACAATTGTATTTACATCATTAAATTTATAATTATATACAATTAAAATGTTAACCACTGGCTTTATGCTTTAGTGTCTATTAACAACTATTCGCGGACGCTCATTTGATAATTCCTCTAGCGTCATTCCACGCGTCTCAGGTCAATAGCGTCGAAAAAAATTCTAAAAAGCAATGAATGCAAATATTAGAATTAACGATCCATAAAGTTGTTCGTACCACCGATATCTTTGAGTTGAAGGAATCCTACTTGTGCTATAATTGCGCCTAATTTCCCGGATGCAGCTGATATACCATGTCCTGTGGACCGATATCTTGTAGGAAAAACTTCACTTGGCACGATAAATGTCGTTGCATTAGGTCCAAAATTTTGAAATAGCTAATAAAAAAAATATTTTTTTTTAAATTAGGAAAATATTTAAGATACTTAAATGATAGAAATAGATTAATATTAACCTGACATAATGAGAATATTATAATGAATACTGCTGTGTATTGTTTTATATAATTATAACAAAATCCCCAAATCAGAAATAACACAGTAAGAACTATAAATCCCATTAGTTGGATTTTTTTACGACCCCATTTATCAACTAAAAAAACAGTACACCAATATCCTGGAATCGTACCCAACATGGTGATGATGATGTTGCCAACAGATAAATTCCAAAGATTTGAGAAGGCATCTATACTACCAGCAAATCCAATGGCTTGTAATATGATCCCGTTATTCAATCCTATGCCTTTAATTGGACACCATTCCATACATGTTAACTATTGAAATACGTACTGTAAGTGGCCGTATACAAGACTCGGGTTTGTTACATTTCATCAATTTAAAAAAAAATTTCAAAACTTCTAATAGACTCCCCAGGTACAGTACACAGCTGAGGGTTTTACGTCGTAAAAAGGAAAATTTTAAAGTGACATACACACCTTGCATTTATAATAGTAGATTGTTTTTAATACCGCACATAAGGGGTCTACTATCTTTTATACGACCATTTACAATAAATGCAATTCAATTTAAAATTAAAATTTACTTACCGTAAAATGCTATATCTAATACGAACCATGAGATTGAAGTTCCTAATAGAATTTTACCATTTTCCCATACACTAAAATATTCTTTAAAATCCTGAATGTACATATAATTAAAAATTGTATTAAAAAACTATAATTGACTTTTAAGAGCCTTTTTTTATGTAAGATAATTTTTCTTACCTTCCATGTAGCAGTAGGTCCATCTATGACACAAATCGGTCTATCTTTTTTGCTCAAAGGATCAAGTTTTAATACGTCATTGATATCACGTTCTGCTTTTTCGACATCACCCAATACATCCATTGTAAAGCGCGGCGTTTCTGGAATAGTAACCCGGAAGTAAAATCCAACAATCGCAGGGATTACACCAAATATTAATACTATTCGCCATACAGTATCAATATACATTTTATCTCTATTTATGATAAAATCTCTGTATGCACCCAAAGTTGCCACAGAAACTATACCCGCAGTTAAAATTCCGAAACCTTGCATGGCAAATACGGCAGATATCATTGCCTGAACAAAAATAGTAGAAATTTTTTTTTTAAAAAAAGATTTTGGACATTGGGAAATTAAATTATCAAACTCTACGTACACCTCTTTTGCTAACTGTTGCAAATTCACTCGTAATGACTTAATATATTAAGAATTTATGTTAAGTATCAAGTTTGTACGTATAAAAGTCCAGAAACTATATAAATATATATATTTACCGGCAGATACAGGATAATCACCACCAATTCCAACGCCTAATATGAATCGCCAAAATATAAGTGAGGCCCAAGTCGTGATCGCAAACGAATTTGAGGACATTGCAGAACCGAAAGTTGCCATGATCATAATTGCAAGTTCCCAACCATAGACCTTATGATTAATTAAAATTTAACTAATTAAATAAAAAAACGTGAATTATGCGTATCGATATTTACTTTTTTACGTCCATAGCGATCAGCAGACCAGCCAAATGCCAATTGACCTATTAAAGTCCCACAAGCAGCCGACATTTTTAGACCCATATCAATGCTTGCTTGAATAAAGGCATTCTGACTCATATAATCCGGATCGGTATAGCTTAGCATATTAGCGACAAAATTTATAACAAATAGATCATAAGCATCTGTAAAGAAACCAATGCTAGCTACTATACATGTCCGAATGTGAAACCATCCAAAATCAGCATTATCTATTTGGCTAAGATTTCTTTGACGTCTACTAAGTTCATATGCGTCATCAAAAGAATGAGTTTCATTAGAGTCCAATGGAAAAAATGAAACAGGGTCTGTAGACATTTCTAGATTTTTTTAAATATTGAATATAAGAATTATATCTTTACACATTAATTATTAAAAAAAAGGAAAGAAATAATTAGAGTTGTTAAATAAAGAAATGTAGAGAAAATTGTACCTAATAAAATTCATCAGGAACGAGTAAAACGGCATTTGTTTTGGTTGCATGTACTTTAAGTTATATAGAATTTGCAATTCAACGGTTAATAATGAAAAAATAGCCAATTATTATTTTAAAAGGTAACATACATCCTAGGTTGTAATAGGTTATACATGTCACAAGGCGTAATATGTTTCACTTAGTTCGTTACATTAGATCCAAAAGAAATGCATTATCTTCATGGTAAATTTTATCTAAGGCAATACCTAATTCTGTAATTTAAAATTTTCTCAATTAATTCAAGCAATTAAAAATAAACAAACGTAAACTTGATTTA